AAACTGAAATGACCAACCACACTCCACTGTAGGACGCTGGCACTGCTGGAGTGCCTCTCGGCGATATGGCGCCACTGCCTCCTGGTGAAGCTGCTGCACTCGCTAGGAGTCTTCTGGCTCCATTCTCTCCCTGCTGACACCAGCGACGGTTATGTCAGTGCAACAACATAACTGATTTTGTTGCCACAACCCCTCAAGGAAGGTTCCTTGATGTTGGTGAGGGACTCTTGATTTAGGGAATTGGATCTGTGCTCCAGTTCCCCGAATTAAGCCTGAATGCCTTCCACATCCCCCCCCCCAGGCTCTGTATAATCCTCCGGGTTTAGCGCTTCCCCCTTGATTATAATAATAAAATATGTTGCCAAATAGTAGAGGGTCAAAGGATTACATGTAATCATTCCTGAAATCTTAATAACGGTTACACAACGATTGATATACAAATATAATTTATTTCTAATTCTCCCTCCCTCCCTCTCTCATAAAGCCTGCATCAAACTGACAAAGGCGACCATTACCACTATTTTTCCATCATATTCACAGCTACCTGCATGATCGCTACCAATGGAACTTATCACCATCATCCTCACTGTTTAACACCAGCACTGCCACCAACGCTAGAACTAACACCAGCACTATCACTGTCATCACTGTAGGTTTAGCAATTCTTTTTTATTATAATAATAATAATAATAATAATCACTGCAATCACTTCCGTTATCCTCGCCACCAGAACCATTACAGTAATCATCACCACTAAACAAGGACCCCCAGTAGAAATAAGTGGCTTCGTCTTGATTTTTTTGGGGGGTTATCCTAGGTTAAACAAATAACCTGCACATAAGAGAGGAGCTTACGATGACGTTTCGGTCCGACTTGGACCGAGTCGGACCGAAACGTCGTCGTAAGCTCTCCTCTTCTATGTGCGGGTTATTTATGTATTGTTCCAGTCACGGTATTGTGCCTTTTTTTGTTATTTATCCTAGGTTATTCACACACACATTACCATGTATGATAATCAGTCGCCTAAATTTGTGTAACTGTACTTATGTGTACCTGTACCTAAATAAATTTATTAAACACTATTACTCGTCGCCACTGCCATCGCCGCCACTACCATCGCCACCACTATCATCGCCGCCACTGCCATCGCCGCCGCCACTGCCATCGCCGCCACTGCCATCACCGCCACCACCTTCATAAATGCATATGACAGCGTGTTTAAGACGCACTAAGGTTGCGATTTAATGTAACAATATGCATTTTTTATACCCGAAACATATATAATAAACACATTTTTATGAACCCTTCATCAGGTCTGGTACTCAAGAAGTTAGTTAAAGCAGCAACAATGAACTTGTCAGAATCAAGACCTAAATTATAGCCGTCACCAGTGCCTGGAGCAGCTTTTTTTTTTTTTTTTTTTTTTTGTAAGGGTAAGACCAAAGCATATTATATGTTTATCACTGTGGACGAAGATCAGAAAGGCAGCAACTATAGAAGTGTTTTTCATAATATAAATAAAGATTGTGCGACAGTGTTGATGGGTAGAAAATTCCCGTCCATGATAGTGTCTAACCATCAATTATAATAATAACTGGCAGGATTAGTGTCACTATAAATCGCAAAACCATACTGGCAAATAATATCCTGAACAACTAAATTTGTTAGGTTTTGCCCCAAGAGGCGAGAGAACATATCGTCATAATAACTACATTACAGCCTATGTAGATGATAGGCGATCCTAATTTCATCTTTGGCTGTTTCAGAATACAAACATGATAATTAAGGATTTGCATAGTTTTACCATATACGCAGTGCTGGTGACGCCGCGTGCTCCAGCTGTGAGGATCTTGCTGTAGGCTTTTCACCTTGGACATGCTCTAAATGGTTTGCAACCTATAAACATCATCTCCAGTAGTGCACGGTATATTTATTTAATTTGTATAAAAAAATCGTGCAGACTATTATTTATATATATATAATATATATTATATAATATATATATATATATAATAATATATATATATATATATATATATATATATATATTTTCTCATACGTTTAAGGATATATTTTTTTCATTTATGTTAATGTAAAAATTAATAATTTTGTACCAAAAGAATCTTAGAAAACTTACCTAACCTTATTATAACAAGCGCAATTTAATTTAGCCTAATCCAACTGAATATATTTTAGATAACTTGACGGTAATTTAATAATAAACACAATAAAATATATTTTTTTCCTTAGGTTCAGAATGATTTTTGCGAAATTATTGCATACAAAAATTTTCGCTTGCCTCGTTCGTCAAGAAAAGCGTTGCTATTAATGCCACAATCTCGAGTTATATATATATATATATATAATAAACGTCATACAGGTAATTTGCTCACATAATATAAATAATAATTCACATGTTTATTACGATAATGTTTGTAATAATTGTTTATGATTGATGAATACATTTATTACGAGCCCCCCCCCCCTCAGTCTAAATGCCAACTAAACTCTTGTGTATAGTAATGTTGGTAAAATCACCGAAAATGTTAGGTTGCACATATCCTTTTATCTTTCGTGTGTATACTGTACTCGCAGACAAAATTTTACGTCGTAAATTATTATTTATGCTCCTTGACATGTAGCCATGGATTCTGTTCACCTTATTGCGAGCACTTATGCATTATTGTCTTCGTTTTATTATATTATAATCACGGGGAAGCGCTAAACCCGTAGGATTATACAGTGCCTGTGGGGGAGGGGGAATGAAAGGTATTCAGGGAACTGGAGCACAGATCCAATTCCCTAGATCAAGAGCCCCTCACCAGTGTCAAGGAACCTCTCTTGAGTGGTGTCTTGGTTTTAGATTACTGTTAACCAGAACTCCCAAATCCTTTTCGCAATCAGTAATATTAAGATCTTCTTTATTTAGTTTATATGTGGCATAATTATTTTCTTGTCCTATGTTTAGAACTTTGCATTTGTTTGTATCAAACTGCATCTGCAACTTCTCCGACCACTGCATCAGTTTTCAAATCTTCCTGGAGTGCTCTTATGTCCTTATCAGAATGAATTAGGCGACCTATTTTGGTGTCATCAGCAAACTTGCTTATGTCGCTATTTATTCCCTCATCAGTGTCGTTTGTATAAATTGTGAACAACAAAGGGCACAACACTGACTCCTGTGGAATACCACTCATGATGCTCCCCCTCTGTGATTTCTCCCCATTTATGCAAACTCTCTGCTGCCTGTCAACCACGCCTCTACCCAGGAAAAAATTTCTCCTATTCCGTGTGCCTTAATTCTCCTCAATAGTCTTTGATGTGGAACTCGATCAAAAGCCTTACTGAAGTCCATATACACAATATCGTATTCATTATCATGATCTACCTCCTCAAATACCTTGGTGAAAAAAGTAAATTCGTAAGGCAGGAACGCCTCTTTATAAAACTGTGCTGAGATTCATTAATCAATTTATGCCATTCAAGATGGCTACGAATTGCCTCCCCTCAAGGAAGGTTCCTTGATGTTGGTGAGGGGCTCTTGATTTAGGGAATTGGATCTGTGCTCCAGTTCCCCGAATTAAGCCTGAATGCCTTCCACATCCCCCCCCCAGGCGCTGTATAATCCTCCGGGTTTAGCGCTTCCCCTTGATTATAATAATAATAATAATAATACGAATTGCCTCGGCAATTCTTGATTCCATAAATTTTCCAACTATGGAGGTAAGGCTTATTGGTCTATAGTTCGAAGCTATGAACCTGTCACCTGCTTTGTAAATAGGTATCACATTTGCCATTTTCCACTTGTCTGGCACTATGCCAGTTTGTAGTGATGTTGAAAAGACTAGCCAAGGGTTTGCTAAGCTCCTCTTTACATTCTAGTACATGAATTGAAGCATGCTCTAATCCTAGCCTTATTAAAATTCTGGCAAGGCAATGATGGTGAATGTTTCTTTCTTCGGGTCGTTCTACTTTGGTGGGAGACGGCCAGTGTGGTTTTAAAAAATAATATTGCTACACGGGAATTATCACAGGTCAGAAAATGTCATCAATAACTATGAGTGATTCAGGTTTAAAAGTTGAAAGAGAATGCAGACAAGAGCAAAGTGATGAGTGTAAGAAGAGAGAATCTAGGAAATGAAAGAATGGGTATCATGTGAAAGGAGTTTTGAGAAAGTGAATGTATGTGGTTAGATATTTGCGAATGAATGTATCTGGAGTTTACCTGGAGAGAGTTTCGGGGGTCAACGCCCCCGCGGCCCGGTCTGTGACCAGGCCTCCTGGTGGATCAGCGCCTGATCAACCAGGCTGTTGCTGCTGGCTGCACGCAAACCAACGTACGAGCCACAGCCCGGCTGATCAGGAACTGACTTTAGGTGCTTGTCCAGTGCCAGCTTGAAGACTGCCAGGGGTCTGTTGGTAATCCCCCTTATGTATGCTGGGAGGCAGTTGAACAGTCTCGGGCCCCTGACACTTATTGTATGGTCTCTTAACGTGCTAGTGACACCCCTGCTTTTCATTGGGGGGATGGTACATCGTCTGCCAAGTCTTTTGCTTTCGTAGTGAGTGATTTTCGTGTGCAAGTTCGGTACTAGTCCCTCTAGGATTTTCCAGGTGTATATAATCATGTATCTCTCCCTCCTGCGTTCCAGGGAATACAGGTTTAGAAACCTCAAGCGCTCCCAGTAATTGAGGTGTTTTATCTCCGTTATGCGCGCCGTGAAAGTTCTCTGTACATTTTCTAGGTCGGCAATTTCACCTGCCTTGAAAGGTGCTGTTAGAGTGCAGCAATATTCCAGCCTAGATAGAACAAGTGACCTGAAGAGTGTCATCATGGGCAGATGGGTCTACAAAGGGTGAGGCAAATCACAGAATAGATAAGAAAGTAGCAAGAGATGTTCATTTTTGTCTCGCATTATACGAGGCAGTGTACATATGTATTTATAATGCTGTGTTACATTTTTCCCTTCTTGTTCCTCATTATACAAAGTGCATTGCAGGTGGAAGAGCGACGCGTCATACGGACGGGTGAGCCGGTGGTTCGCCATTTTCTCAGCCTATGGATGGGGCCTTGCCCTCCTCCTCACCTCTCTCTCGCCATCGCCAGGGACTTCTCTGAAGAGCTCGACGGGTCAGGCCTTCCTAAACCCAACTTCGGCCAAGCCAGATGCTGGTTCTCAGGTGAGTCGCTGTCTCGTTAGCTGATGTAGTGCTAGGTAATGTCCCCACAGGTTGATATACAACTGATGTCCCATCCATGGGTACAAAAAATAACATTTACAGCTAAACAGGCTGTAAAAAGTAAACAGAATAGTAATTGAGAATGCATATATTGGCCTAATCTTCTCAAGTGGCTGTTAGCAGTTTAAGTATCTACAACTGTGCTTTGAATGTCGCATGTGGTGTAGGAACATGATGCTGTTTAGAAGAATTAAAGTAGCAGAATTTTAATAGTGTAATAATTTCTTTGTAATGATAAGATGAAATGAGAATTTCACCATTTAGTCTCTTCAACAGATCACTACAAGCTAGTATCGTACCGGAAAAGCAGGGGATAGACCCTGGGCTTAAAATTATAGATCAGTCAATCAATCAATCAAGTTTCTTCTCTATAAGGATTACAATGCGGGGTTTACAGATTTTGGTTATTGTGTGGTTTACATGTAATAAAATACTAATTACAGAGGGGGCCACTAGGACATCTAGCATGGCTAGGCATTTCGGGCAGACTTACATTAATTCTTAACTCTAAATCATTATAAATTATGGAGTAAGTTGGTATTATGACTAAGTACCTAAATACTAGTTTGTGAGTTTAGCAATGTGAATGCTTTTGTTTTGGCACAATACATAGTTTCTGTATTGGAGTATCACAGGCAAACTTATGACTAGTTAGGATTTATTATTTTAAAATTAAGATTCGTATTTCTGTGCTTATAGTCAAATGGGTGAGTGATTGTAAGTGTGAACCACCAGGTGGTTTTCATGTGGTTAGTTGACGGGGTGTATCAGGGAGATATGATGTTGTCTAACGGTAGTTTTGAAGGTGATGAATGTGTCTGCAGTTCTAGAGTTTTCGGCCTAACCTCAACTGTCAGAAACTGATGGAATCAAGAATTCCTCATTCAGTTTGAAGCCACCGTGAAGGATAAAATCTGATCAAAGGATCTCGGCACAGTTTTATGAAAGGCGTTCTTGCCTTGCGAATTTACTGACTTTTTTTACTAAGGTATTCAAAGCAGTAGACCAAGATAAAGAATATTATTTGCACTTACTGTTTACTGTTTACCTGGAGAGAGTTCCGGGGGTCAACGCCCCCGCGGCCCGGTCTGAGACCAGGCCTCCTGGTGGATCAGAGCCTGATCAACCAGGCTGTTGCTGCTGGCTGCACGCAAACCAACATACGAGCCACAGCCCGGCTGATCCGGAACTGACTTTAGGTGCTTGTCCAGTGCCAGCTTGAAGACTGCCAGGGGTCTGTTGGTAATCCCCCTTATGTGTGCTGGGAGGCAGTTGAACAGTCTCGGGCCCCTGACACTTATTGTATGGTCTCTTAACGTGCTAGTGACACCCCTGCTTTTCATTGGGGGGATGGTGCATCGTCTGCCAAGTCTTTTGCTTTCGTAGTGGGTGATTTTCGTGTGCAAGTTCGGTACTAGTCCCTCTAGGATTTTCCAGGTGTATATAATCATGTATCTCTCCCTCTGCGTTCCAGGGAATACAGGTTTAGGAACCTCAAGCGCTCCCAATAATTGAGGTGTTTTATCTCGTTATGCGCGCCGTGAAAGTTCTCTGGTACATTTTCTAGGTCGGCAATTTCACCTGCCTTGAAAGGTGCTGTTAGTGTGCAGCAATATTCCAGCCTAGATAGAACAAGTGACCTGAAGAGTGTCATCATGGGCTTGGCCTCCCTAGTTTTGAAGGTTCTCATTATCCATCCTGTCATTTTTCTAGCAGATGCGATTGATACAATGTTATGGTCCTTGAAGGTGAGATCCTCCGACATGATCACTCCCAGGTCTTTGACGTTGGTGTTTCGCTCTATTTTGTGGCCAGAATTTGTTTTGTACTCTGATGAAGATTTAATTTCCTCATGTTTACCATATCTGAGTAATTGAAATTTCTCATCGTTGAACTTCATATTGTTTTCTGCAGCCCACTGAAAGATTTGGTTGATGTCTGCCTGGAGCTTTGCAGTGTCTGCAATGGAAGACACTGTCATGCAGATTCGGGTGTCATCTGCAAAGGAAGACACGGTGCTGTGGCTGACATCCTTGTCTATGTCGGATATAAGGATGAGGAACAAGATGGGAGCGAGTACTGTGCCTTGTGGAACAGAGCTTTTCACCGTAGCTGCCTCGGACTTTACTCTGTTGACGACTACTCTCTGTGTTCTGTTAGTGAGGAAATTATAGATCCATCGACCGACTTTTCCTGTTATTCCTTTAGCACGCATTTTGTGCGCTGTTACGCCATGGTCACACTTGTCGAAGGCTTTTGCAAAGTCTGTATATATTACATCTGCATTCTTTTTGTCTTCTAGTGCATTTAGGACCTTGTCGTAGTGGTCCAATAGTTGAGACAGACAGGAGCGACCTGTTCTAAACCCATGTTGCCCTGGGTTGTGTAACTGATGGGTTTCTAGATGCGTGGTGATCTTGCTTCTTAGGACCCTTTCAAAGATTTTTATGATATGGGATGTTAGTGCTATTGGTCTGTAGTTCTTTGCTGTTGCTTTACTGCCCCCTTTGTGGAGTGGGGCTATGTCTGTTGTTTTTAGTAACTGTGGGACGACCCCCGTGTCCATGCTCCCTCTCCATAGGATGGAAAAGGCTCGTGATAGGGGCTTCTTGCAGTTCTTGATGAACACAGAGTTCCATGAGTCTGGCCCTGGGCAGAGTGCATGGGCATGTCATTTATCGCTTGTTCGAAGTCATTTGGCGTCAGGATAACATCGGATAGGCTTGTGTTAATCAAATTTTGTGGCTCTCTCATAAAAAATTCATTTTGATCTTCGACTCTCAGTCTGGTTAGCGGCTTGCTAAAAACTGAGTCATATTGGGACTTGAGTAGCTCACTCATTTCCTTGTTGTCATCTGTGTAGGACCCATCTTGTTTAAGTAGGGGCCCAATACTGGACGTTGTTCTCGATTTTGATTTGGCATAGGAGAAGAAATACTTTGGGTTTCTTTCGATTTCATTTATGGCTTTTAGTTCTTCCCGCGATTCCTGACTCCTAAAGGATTCTTTTAGCTTAAGTTCGATGCTTGCTATTTCTCTGACCAGTGTCTCCCTACGCATTTCAGATATATTGACCTCTTTTAGCCGCTCTGTTATTCTTTTCCGTCGCCTGTAAAGGGAGCGCCTGTCTCTTTCTGTTTTACATCTACTCCTCCTTTTTCTTAGAGGAATAAGCCTTGTGCATACATCGAGTGCTACCGAGTTAATCTGTTCTAGGCATAAGTTGGGGTCTGTGTTGCTTAGTATATCTTCCCAGCTTATATCGGTTAGGACTTGGTTTACTTGGTCCCACTTTATGTTTTTGTTATTGAAGTTGAATTTGGTGAATGCTCCCTCGTGACTAATCTCATTATGTCGGTCTGGGGCTCCGCACATACATGACTGAACCTCAATTATGTTGTGATCTGAGTATATTGTTTTTGATATGGTGATATTTCTTATCAGATCATCATTGTTAGTGAAGATGAGGTCTAGTGTATTCTCCAGTCTAGTAGGCTCTATTATTTGCTGGTTTAAATTGAATTTTGTGCAGAGATTTAAAAGCTCGCGTGAGTGTGAGTTTTCATCAGAGCTGCCTCCTGGTGTTATTACTGCAACAATATTATTTGCTATATTCCTCCATTTTAGGTGCCTTAAGTTGAAATTCCCCAGGAGCAAGATGTTGGGTGCAGGAGCTGGAAGGTTTTCCAGACAGTGGTCAATTTTTAACAGCTGTTCCTGGAATTGCTGGGATGTTGCATCCGGAGGCTTGTAGACTATCACAATGACTAGGTTTTGGTTCTCGACCTTTACTGCTAAAACTTCCACTACATCATTTGAGGCATTTAGCAGTTCTGTGCAAACAGGTGACTCTGCAATGTACAGGCCAACCCCCCCCTTTTGCCTGTTCACTCTGTCACATCTGTATAGGTTGTAACCTGGGATCCATATTTCGTTGTCCAAGTGATCCTTTATGTGGGTCTCAGTGAAAGCCGCGAACATTGCCTTTGCCTCTGCAAGCAGTCCACGGATGAAAGGTATTTTGTTGTTTGTTGCTGGCTTTAGACCCTGTATATTTGCAAAGAAGAATGTTATCGGACTGGTGGTATTGTTGGTACTGGGGGGGGATTTTTTTTTCCGGCATTAGTATCTGTATCTGTTGGTTTGGAGTGGAGGCCATCGACTGTGGTTCCCCTCCAGGAATGACTGGATTTGGTGTACGATTTCTGCCATTTCCTGCCAGTTTTTTTTCCTTCCTGGCACTAAAAAACCTCTCCCTCTTGAGTGGCTGTGGCTACCCAGGTTTTCCCATGGCCTGGATGTTTTGTATCTTTTTGTCCCCTTTAGATGGTATGCCTGGCAATTTAAGTTATAGCACAGTCTTTCCTGTACTGAAGAGGTACACAGTTCAGGGTGAAAAAGCTTACAGGAAGGGAGTTTGCATTTTCCTGTTGTCATATGGGCATGGCATTTCCTAGGGTGGTCATAGTTGCACGTCCCATCTGTTTTTCCAGATTTCCCATGCCAGCAGATACCGAGTGCATAGTATGTGCACAGGCTTGGTTTCCGTTTGCCTTGGGTTTCTGTGACTGTATTCCCTGTTGGTGCATGTTTCCCTGTCTTACTTCTATCCTCCCTAGCACCAACAATGGAGCTCCCACCATTTGTTTTTGGTAATATATCCTCACTATTGCTAGTGGAGTCCTCTTGTTTGCTATTTCCTGCGGTATTTCTAGTTTGCAATATTGGTTTTATCTTATCTTCGACTACACTTGTTTCCCTACTATGGCTCCTGTCCCCTATGAGGTCATTCATATGTATTCCTTCCTGCGTATAATACCCGACTACCTGGACAAAATCTCCAGCTTCACCATTACTGTCTCCCAGGACAGCATCTCCAGCTTCCCCATTACTGTCTCCCAGGACAGCATCTCCAGCTTCACCATTACTGTCTCCCAGGACAGCACCTCCAGCTTCACCATTACTGTCTCCCAGGACAGCACCTCCAGCTTCCCCATTACTGTCTCCCAGGACAGCACTATCAGCCCCCCATTTACTGACTACCAGGACATCATCTCCAGCCTTACAGTTTCTGACTACATGGCCAGTATCAAGGGCAGTACCATTCAGCCCGGACTTTTTATGTTCCCATCTGTTGTAGAAAGCTTCCAGGTTTTCTATGAAAGCAGCTTTGATGTTGACCTCTTTTAATACCCTTGTGATTTTAGTCCACAGATTTATCTCATTTGGGCATACCCAAAAACACTTCCCTGTTTTAATACTGCTTGTAGCTAGTTCTTGGATATCTGCACAAGGGGCGTGACACGAATTTCCACAGAAATGACAATTTATGCATGTGGAAGCCCGTTTGTTTGACTGACCACAGACTACACACAGCTTCATAATGATTTGAATGGTTGATTTACTGCAATTCTACTAGCAACCTCTTGAATATTCTATTAATAACCTGCTAGGTGGTGCACAACGAAACCGTTTGAAACCAGTCCAGTGTTGAAACCAGTTTGTGTTACCAATATATTTCTTCCCCCAGTAATTGTAACCAAAATTGTCATTCCGATTCTGCAGTACTACCCTTCATATTGATACAGTACGTACATAAATCTTTGCATTCAAACTTGAACTTCAACCATACAAGGAGGTACTTGTGCCTCCTCCCATGGGAGACTTACGTCTCGAGACACTCCCCAGATAGGGAGCCAAGGCCGGGTCACCACTACTTGGAAAAGACCCGGGCCGGGAGAATACCGGCGAATAAAAAAACAAAACAAAACAAAAAAAAAACATACAATCTGCCCAAAATGTTTCGCATAATCAGGGGCATTCCACATCACCTACTTTTGTTAAATGCTACCTACTTTTTGAAACAAAATTTCACTAATATTTTTTTATGGGGTGGGCAGTTAAGCCAATTGAAGGCCACTGTCAAGTGAACGAAAGCTCCAGAGTACGGGTCAACGTTATCACAAAGACCTGGGTGAAAAGAATTCACCTCTTTTCCCAGATAAACAAGATACCTTTCCCTCCCTCCCAAAATATAGACTACAAAAAAAAAAATATCCTAATTATCGACCTGAGTCATGTTCGGCAAAATAAGATTTTAAACAGATTGACAGATAATTATAAAATGCAAATAGAGTATGAATATTAATCCCTCTCCCCTCCAGCTGTCACCATGTAGAGATCGGTGGTAATACATTATGACATGGGCAATGAGTAGATCGACGTGGTGCAGTTGTATGAATAACTTATTTATTCATGTTAGTGGGGGAACGCTAAACCTGTAGGGGTCATACAGCTCTTGGGGAAATTGGCTGCAATCAGGTTCGTTTCAAAGAAGGGGAGGTCAGGTTCAGTTCCTTGGTTCCAGAGCTTCTTACCGACGTCAAGGAAACTTCTCTTTGGGGGTGAATGACTTGGCTGTAGCTCTTATATAAACGGATATTGTGGGGGTGTTGGGTGTGGTGTTGTCATTGCTAGCTTTTGTGTTCATAGTGAAATTTTATAATAGGGTAACAACAAAATGTTGTGTCAAACCTGCTAAATAAGAAAACGTGTGGTTGTAGTACTGTCCATGCTACTTAAAGTAGGAAGAAAGATATGGCTATAAAATAAAGACGTAATAATTCTCTCATACCATCTAATTCCTTGTTGATATCACAAACATCCCTGACAGCGCATTTTACTTCTAAGCACTTTCTTCAAAATACAAGAAACTATCTTCCTCAAATTACTTTCTCTCTCCAAGTACAATTCCCCTCAAGGAAGGTTCCTTGATGTTGGTGAGGGGCTCTTGATTTAGGGAATTGGATCTGTGCTCCAGTTCCCCGAATTAAGCCTGAATGCCTTCCACATCCCCCCCCCCCCAGGCGCTGTATAATCCTCCGGGTTTAGCGCTTCCCCCTTGATTATAATAATAATAATCTACAAGTACAATGAACTTGGACGCGCGCGCACTGCAATTTTATCACCTTTTCGCTACACCCTTACCACTGAACCATCCTTTCCAGCTTAGCCAGTGACGGTGGTTACCTTTATTGGGTGATTATTGTACGTAATTCTCATCTTCATTGTACTTAACTACCTCTTCTTTATTGCTGTTGTAATAAGTTTTGTTATTTAAATGATATTTGTACTTATTCATGATACCTTCACCATTTTGGTTATACGAGTATAATTTAATTTCAACCACTCTTAAGTCTGCGAAATGTTTTGCGTAACTATGGGCTTTGCCATGTTTGAAAACATATATTATTCAATCCCTTTATACAGTGTATCAAATTGGTAAATAAAAATGACTGTCGGGGGCGACTGTTGGCCATCTCCCACATTCCCATAATTACTTCCTCAACCGTATGCGCCTCGACTAAAATTAGATTTTTGTTTTTATTGTGAGCCTGATTTTCACAGATGCGTCAAAATACGAGGCTGTTTCATTTCCATATTGAAGACCTAGGATAGCTTGTTAATAACATGTACTACTTGTTAACACAATGAGCCAGCTGGTCCTACTTATGGTTACGTTCTCACATTTATCTGTCCACAGGTGATGACGCCCTTATCATCTTCTTCTATGGCCCTACCTCTGTTGTGCTAGGCCTCAATGTAGTGCTATTCTGTGCCTCAGCCTACAAGCTCTGCTCTCTGAACAAAAGTTCAGAAGCCAGGATGTTCCAGTGAGTAACAACTGTTTTGTATCTTTTGAGTCTTCTACCCTTCAGACTGAACTCTTTGCTGTACTCCTTACATTCAAATGTGTCCCTGTATCTAAAGTGACTCAGTAGGCAACACACTCAGTTCACATACTAAGTGTTCGATCCCTGGCATGGGTGGAAACGTTTGGCATGTTTCCCTCATTGCTGTCCCTGTTCACCTAGGTGTCGATCAACACCTGGGTGTTAGGTAGGCGTCGACCAACACCTGGGCATTAAGGTAGGCGTCGACCAACACCTGGGCATTAGGCACCGACCAACACCTGGGCGTTAGGTAGGCGTCGACCAACACCTGGGCGTTAAGGTAGGTGTCGACCAACACCTGGGCGTTAAGGTAGGCGTCGACAACACCTGGGCGTTAAGGTAGGCGTCGACAACACCTGGGCGTTAAGGTAGGCGTCGACCAACACCTGGGCGTTAAGGTAGGCGTCGACCAACACCTGGGCGTTAAGGTAGGCGTCGACCAACATCTGGGCGTCAGATAGGCGTCGACCAACACCTGGGCGTCAGGTAAGCGTCGACCAACACCTGGGCGTTAGGTAGGCGTCGACCAACACCTGGGCGTTAGGCATCGACTAACACCTGGGTGTTAGTCGACTGTCGTGGGTCGCATCCTCTGGGATGGTAGTATACCGTAGGTAGGGCTGGGCTTCGAAATGAGCTAAGATAGCAGCTCTTAGCCTGTAAAATTGATTTGTGTAACCCAAAAAAAAAAAAAATGCTCTTAATTCTCGGAGCATCAGTTGCGGCATGTTTGTGTCAAAAGCCAGACACAGGTATGCTAGGACTGTAGACAGTGGAGTAGAGTACATCTGTGGGTTCCACCTTACATTGATCTTCAGAAGCATGACAGAATTGATTGATTACAATCTTGGGCTGTCAGCAGTTTGAGAACAATAATACGAAAATAACATAAAATGAACTCTACTGACTCTAGACAGAGGGAGAGACACCAATTAGAAAAATTGTCACCATTCTGTCATGCAGGAGCCACTTGTCTGGTGCATCCAGCACAATCAGCAAACTCTTGGATGTAACTACCGCTAGGTTCCAGCTGTGCTACAGTATCTATGAGAGGCTATCACCATCACCAGCTGATGTAAACAACTAAATGTGAACTTTGTCATATAGACCTTTCTCACACCTTGCATCATTATGTGCTGGAATGCAATGAAATCAAAGGATTCAGAAACAACTTTCTCACATTTTCAAGAAATATCTGTGTTTTATCGACAGTGGAATATTAACAACCATTCTGGAAAAATACACTGAGTTTTCCTATTGCTTATAACTCATAACCTCTTAAACTTGTCTAAATTCAACCATACCGTGCTAAAATATGAGATAATATAAATAATTTAATGCCATATATTGTTCCAGTCATGATATTGTGCCTTTTT